TCCAAATATCAACCCCCTCAAACTCTCCCATCTGTTTGTGCTAATTAACTTGCACAACATGTCCCTAACTTTGAATCCATTTCCATTTAAATGGGCTCTACTCTCTCTTTTCCGAATATGTGTGCGGTCTCAAAATCAAATTAGTCAGACGGCGCGTAGTTGGGTGAAATATAAATCTGCTGATTTACACAGAAATAGGGCCGAAGTCGACCGTTTTTCGTGCCCATAAAAACAAATTAGGCCAAAATGTTAAATAAACAAGTTTCGGCAAACGCGATGACAGCCATAAGCCAGCGGCTGTCGTGGCCTGGCCAAAATTGAGACAAAAGTTATCTTATTAATTCCTTGCCGCATCACACACTCCCCAATGAGTTTTCCCCGCTCAGATTTTCCCGACTTTTCCCTGTCATCACGCCCCACTAAACTCGCCGTTAATACGCACAATCAAATGTGATAAATATAACGGAATATTGTAGCATAATTTTGGGGGCAAGCTAAGCCGACAGAAATAACACTTGAGCAAATATTAGATCAGCCGTGGCTCACAATCTTAGCCTGCTTCTGGCCAACCTCACCATCTCTTCTTCATCTGCTGTCCCTTTCTATTGGGCAAACATACAATTCGTTTTTTCCATTTGCCCGCACAGAGAACCAAACTGAGGATATGCTGAATTGATATACTCGTACGCTTGATTACTATCTACATATATCGTTTCTCTGTTTTTATATTATTATTACAATGTGATGATACCTAAGAACATTTAAGGCGGTTTTCTTATTTAGCAAATGCATTGATATAGTGTATTTTATCAGTGTACCTATTAGCCAGTGTTTGTTGTGCCAATTTCTGTTTTGGCAAAAAAGACGGAAAGGGGGAACGGAAAGTTGGTCGGAGGAGTCATCTATGTATGAGTAATCGCTTTCATGGTTGATGACCGAAATGATTAATGGGTTTCGGCAAATCGAGCCAAGTCCAAGATTAAACGCAACAGTTTCCAGCATTGATCATTTGTTATGGCCCAGCAGAAAAACATCTATACCATTCGCAGGGTTTTTCGAGATGGAATTAAGCTCTTAAATGCTGCCGGTAATCATTTCCAAGGGGAATTTACAAAATGACCAACAGCTTGCAACCACACTCCCCGAAAGTACTTAAAGTTGGCTTGCAAATATTACTAAATTAACTTTAATTTTAAGCATTTTAGTCTTGAAATTTAATATATCGACTTGCACAAATGAGAAACATAATGCCCTCGGGCATCAATCAAAATTTAGCACCAAGATAAACTGTGCACACGGATAATACAATAATAGACAAGCGTACAAATCACACAAAGATCACTTAAACGCTTCTAAATTCACCTGAAATTAATCATGCATTCCCAGCTAGGTTCGAAATCAATTTACTGAATTCATAATTATCAACAAGAGAGTCAGTTCTAGTTGCATTTGAATAATGTATACTTCCGAGACGACAGGCAGGCAAACACGAACGATAGCCATAAACAAGCCAAACCAGCAATGCAAAAATTACTCTTTTTCTGGCCTTCTGAAGCCAGCCGCATTGGCTGCTGTTTTAACAAGCAACTTTTTTCCTGCGTTTCAGTTCATAGCAGTGCCGTTCTGATTCTAATTTTTGTGCTCTTGCTTGGGCCACTGGTTTTGTCATTGTTTTTGGCTTGGCGTTTGCTTCGTTGCTGCTATCTCTGGCCGCAAGGATTAATGGGGTCAATTTGGCCGTGACACGCACCACCCGCCACCCACTGCACAATGGATATCGCAGCTGCAAGTGCAACTGGCTCATAAAAAGTGCACAAGAAAAAATATGATAGTCACATGGTTATTTGCTAGCTCTTGGGCATGGCTTCCGTTATTTTTATTAATATTTTTGTACTGATACAATACTGATTTAAAATAAAATGTTAAGTTATTTGTATCTTTTAAATTAAATAACTAAACGTCAATTTGTTCATACGAAATTTGTTGCGCCTTGTAATCACTTTTAAAGCTGTTAAAAGTAGTAATTATGCAGCAAGAAATATTTAACTTAAAAACGATAATGACTTGGTTTTGATTCTTCCGATTCTCTTAGTGTTTCAACGGGATGCGGATCATTTCTCGCCAGTTCCGAGTGCATTTGGCATCGAGAGCAAAAGCCATGGCAACAAAACAGGGACTCATCCAAAGACAAAGATTCCATTTCAATTTACTATTTTAAATTGCAAACTTTTGCGACAAGTTTAAGCTACCACACACAAATATTCATAGACCCACACACGCACTCGTTTTGGAAAAGGAAAAGCAAACATTCCCCAGTAACACACACACACGCACATCGCCAATAACACGCAACAAGAGGAATGCGAAAAGAAAGTTGAAAAACGAAACGAACCCAACGGAGGACGACAAATTCAACATGTCAGGCATTAGAAAGGGATAGATAGAAATGAAATGAGGAGAAAGAGACGGAAGAGCGGAAGAGAGATGCGGAGCTGTCACGAAGATGAAACTATTATCCACGGAAATTAGCGGGTTCCAATGACAAAAACACATGAAATGCAAAAACTTTCCGCCCTTCGCTTCAAGCTCAATTTCCAAATTGTTGTCGACATTGTTCTTGTTCTTTTCCTAGTTGCCACTGCCGCCTTGTTGTTTTCCCATAAGAGGTTTTGTTTCCTCGTGGAACCCACTAATGCGCATTTAAGTGCGAGTGGGATCTACTAACCAACTAACCAACCAGGAACTTTAAATATTCAGTTGTTCCTAGTAAAACTGCAAGATTAAAATGGAGTGCTTTAAAGATCGGGCTTATCTATTTAATAGATTAAAATGGAGGCTCTTACGTAAAATACTACACACGACATTTTTTATATTGGTATGCATTATCTGTAAAATATTTTCGGAATCCTTAATTCCTAAGGATACCTAGAGTTTTGGCAACTTTATACTTATTCTTTAGCACCTAATGGGTTTTAGTTGTCGGAAATAAATACTATATTTAAATATACTATGTCAAATAAACTCGAAGTCCTCTTTAGGTCACGGCACATATATGACTACCAATAATTTCTGCCGCAATCAATTCTTTCCCTAGTCAACCTCTTAAAGTCGCGTTTTATACATATTTACAAGTATATTTATATGTATCGCATCTGAGTTATTTTGTATCTTTATTTGTGAGTACATCTTAAACGACATGAGAATTGCGCGGAGGGCTGGTTCCGTTTGACTTTGAGGCCATAAAATGGCCATCAGGGAGAAACAAAAAGAGCGGAGGCACATAAAATATGCGTATAATATATGCGCAAAAATAGTTGGGTCATCTAATGGCTGAACCAAGTCCAAGACAAGGATAATTGCGCTAGCCCGAGTTTTTCCTCTGTGCTTTGCATTTTCTATTTGGAAATCCTCAGCCCCAGAAGATACACTCAAAATTTTTACGACCCTAAATGGCATTAAATATCCAAACGAACTTGACGCGTCTTCCTTGGCTACGTGAAGTTCTCAGCTCAACGCTATTTTCCCCCATCGCTTTTCTTTTCGTTTCGTATTCCGTTGGATACATCTGGGTTAGTTTTCTCAGTTGCAAGCCAAAGAGATGTAGGGTTCGGGGAGGAACTCCTTTTATTGCGGGCCATCAAAAAATGTTAAAAGCCCCGATTTCCATGCCCATTGTCTGAGTCCGTAATTGCTTTGGCTTTGGTCCACTGAGTGTCGGCTTAGTGTGGGAGTGAATGCCACTGAGTTTGAGTGAGTGCGCTTCAAGTCTGAGATCCTGCTGTCCTTTTATGCATGCAAACAATTTCATTCTTTACAGGAATTTATTTTATATAGTAGTGCTCAAGCTGAAGAGGTCTTAGAAAAATGCAGAGAAGTCTAACAGTCTGTATATTTATATCCCTTTAATTAATAGGGATCAATAGGAGTCTAAATTATCCCATTATAATAACAAACCGAGCTGGGTGTTATTTTAACTCAAGCAGCAAATGTCTGAAAAAGATAATAAATTATTCAAACAGGTAATATATATCCTACATATGTATATATCCTACTCAAATCGAACTAATTCCCTTAGATATAAAATCAATAGAAACAAATAACGAGATCAGGAATTTGACCAAAGATTTAATAAACATGTTTTAACAGGAGATAAGATGTCATTCTCGTTTAGAGAAAGCTGTGATTGGCCTGAAATCCGTTGGTAATATTTCTGAATTAGTAAAAAATAACCAAATTTTGTTATTTTGTTAAATACGTTAGCAGTACACTGTTGTCTGGGACTAACATAGACAATGTTATAAGAGCTAAGCAGTGCTTGCTTCCACAACAGTTTATGTGCAATAACATTTTCAGAAAGTGTTAAAGTCCAGCTACGCAGTGCAAACATTTTGGAGACTTTTTAGCAGGCACCTCACAGATATCAGTCCTAACTGACTGTTAAACCGGAAGTGCTGTTAAATGTGAATGAAATGTTAAGAAAACTGCTAAAAAATAATCCAAAATAAATTAAAAATGTTTTTAAAAATATTTTGATCAAATTGAAAATGTTTTATAATTATTTTATAATATTTTTTGTAAATACCTTAGAAAGTGGGTTATTTCAGCACTTAACTGCCTTGTAACTTGTCTCGCCTAAATGACCCAGAAACCAGAAAAGTATCGAAGAGAATGTCAGCTACACAGCTACAAAAGAGCGAAGAGCTGCTCTCCTCAGGACACGAACGCGTCTCGAACTCTTGATTGTGTCACGAAGTGCTTAACTTCGTCCTTGATATCGTCAGCATCAGCAGCATCAGAATGCTGCCCTGCGACAATATGTTGGGCTTACTACATGGCTGTTTGACTGACTGGGCCCACAGATTCTTCTTCGGCGAAAGAAGACATGCTCATGACATCAGCGATGGTGTGCTCTCCTGCATCTTCTTCATGCTCTGCCCTCGTGCTTCGTCCTTCTGCCGCAGCGCTGCTCCTGCTCTGCCACTGCCGGAGTCTGAATCGGAATGCTGAGCCGCAGGTTCGCAGAATCGGGGCTTTAGTCTCGAAAAGCCTGCTGTGCGTGCAGGGGTTTTCAACGCGCAAGCACACGCGGCGTATACGCAACACGGCTGTAGAGGTTGTTGCTAAAAAGACGAAAAATTACGGTTAGTTAAATGGAAACAAAAAAGAACCGAAGGAATATATATGTGAGTGCCCAGTTCACGAGAGTGTTTCGGACTTTTTCCATTTTATCGTTTGCCGGCTACCGGCTTTCCGGATGCAATGAACCATGCATTGAACTGTGCGCGCCACGTTGTTGTTGTGTTCACTGGAAAAATTAGTTGTTGAATTCACTAGGCCTACTATGTTCTATTTGAAATGCCTTTTGTTTCAATTAAGAGAAGAGCACTACGTAAATTATATGCTGGGTTTGTAAAGAGATATCGAAAATATATGTAAATATTTTGGATCAGGAATTGTTTGGATGCCAGACATGCAAAATCATTATTGATTATTAATTTTGTATCATTAAAATGTGGTTCATTCTTTAAAAATCAAGAAAAAAGTAAGTGCTTGCTGAAAATCTTTCTTAACTGCTTCAGATTTATTATTAATATGTTACCTTTTGATTAATGGAATTATTGCGATTCCAATCGTTCATACAATATTGTTTTCGGTGCTATTGTAATAGATGTGGGAAAAGGAATCGATTCCAATACGAAATTCTTAACAAGTGAGAAAGAAAGAGGGATTTAACCCTTGCCACTCGAGTTTGGCCTCATCGAATGCTTCTGACATTTTTGGCTGACCCCCAACATTGAGTTTTACTTTTTTTATCGGCAACCGTGTTCACTTGTCTTCTTAAGTGTCGGCAAATTAATTAACATGACAATGACGAAGGTGAATTGCGTGTTTTCAAAATGCTCCAATCAGCTCTCAACAAAACATTACCGCATTTTTAATGCGCCAACCTTTCCTTTACCAAAGTGTCGATGCCTAACGAGTCTCTCAGATTTGCCAAGGCATTCAGAAGTTTTTAATTAGATCCTTTGACAAATTACCGTTCAAAGCACGGCACAATAGCCGGTAATTAAATGTTTATTGTCGGTGTTTTTTGGGCCGACGGGCGTGATTGAAGCTACTGGGTGTGCGGTTTGCAATTGTCGGATTTTATACAAGAGGACAAGTAAGCCACTCAATGATCACTTAATCAGCAGCTAGAAGTCGAAATTAATGAAATAACGGAAACTGTCAGTATATAATTTTAAATAAATTTATGAATAATTTCGCAGATGGATTCAGTAAAAATTAAATGAGTTTAAATACTAATTGATTAATAAACAAACTATGTAACTTCTTTTATCTTTTGTTGAATAAATATCAATTTTTTTAGCAATTAAATTAACATCAACATGACTTTACACAATTTTTCTTTATCATTTCGGAGTTAATTAACGTTAACTGCAATTTATTTAATAAAGTTTAAAGTTACATTCTGGTTATTTAAATTCCTCCTAATCATTGAACCGTATTCATCAATACGTTCACATTTTTTTCGAACTCAAACGCTGAGTTCGTGTCACAACAAAGCACAATTTTCTATATTGCGTTTAGAATATCGAAATCAATATCGCATTAAATTTTCATTTTATGGTTCGTTCCGCTTTGCACTGCCGCAGGACTCGCTTTAAACTTGCGTCCTGGCAACGTGTGGAAGTTCCTTGTCATGCCTTGCTCACTTCCACCACCCCGAACCATTCAGAATTCAGAGTTCTCCCCATTCTCCTGTCGTTTTCATATTTGTCTAGTATTAGGGGTGAGGACTTTCAACTGCTGCTTTCGCCGCTACTGCTGCTGATTCTCCTGGTTCAAGTATAGCCACTTAAACCCTTTTGACAATGTCAGCCATCAGGCTCAGATGATGATGATGGCGATGACGATGACAAAGTGGATGATGATGATGTGGCTCAATTCAAAACAGCCGTCCCACAAGTTCGCCAAAAAGGAAAAAAATATACAAGCAGTCTCCATGCATGGCAAGAACATTAAAAAAAAAAGGGAAAAAACGACAGGTCCAAATGTATCCTCAAAAATGAAAAGACACAGCAAATGGATGATATGTGGATGGTTTCCACTCACTTAGCTTCACTTGAGCGCCGTTGCCTTGGCTTTGAACAGATTTCCAAGCATTCGGCTAATTTATTTTGCCAGCCTAAAACTCATTACCTCATACATTTTTAAAGCAAACAATGTCCGCGTTTTCCAGTGAAATGCACACAAACAATTCCTCAAAACTCAAGTGGGAAATGTCAAGAACGTCGAAGTGAAGGGGCAGGGGCAGAGTGTTTTGCAATAATAATTTATAAATGAACGAATAAAGGGCGCACAGCAGCGGCAGCCAAAGGCAAATAAAAATAAATAAATAAAAATGGCAATGCGGCATAAAATGTGCCGAGAAGCCGAGTTGAGCCTCCATTCCATGCCGTTTTATTTTTCTCTGTTGGTTTGAGCTGAGCAGGCCGGAAATGTAACAGTGACGCGTTTATTTTATTGCGTATACGCGGCGCAGCAAAGTAGGCAACAATTTTGTGGAGTGGGTTTTCGCATGCTTTCTATTTGCTCATGTGTGCGTTCGAATATTACTGGTGTGTGAGCGTGTTGTGGTTGTGTGTGTGAGTGTTATATGGGCGCCGCAGCAGCGGCTTAACTTATTTTCCACAAAATTAAACCATCAAAAATTTGCCAACAACAATGTTGGGGTAATTTATTTGACTCATGTGCTGCTGTTAGCTCGCCTGTTGTTTGGGCATAGGAAGGCACAGCAACAGCAGAATGGAAAAAAGAACACACTTACAACCACTGTCAGAAAATCTGTGCCTCAGCTAATTAAAAATTGAGTTCCTGGAACTCTAGGGCTTCTTGGCATACTTTTTTATTGTTTTATTTATAAAATGGGGGGTGCAAATACCTTTTTTAAAAAAAATAGTAAATGATTGGTCAGTCTTTTCTGAGAGTGTAGGGTTTACACTCTCACAGGGTCCTATCCAAGCCGTTGGCGTTAGTTGTGGCTATGGTTATGTTGGTGACGCTGCCGCAGCCGCAATGGCTAACACGTACACACACAAACGTACAGCAGTGTATGAGTATATAGCAGTACTTGCACACATGCAAGAGACTTTGACCAACTATTCACTTCGTCTTCTTCTAGCGCCCTTTTGTTGAAATTAAATAAACAGTAGGGGCATCGTAACCATTGCCACGCCCCTCTGTCTCCCAAGCGATGATGAATTGATGATAATGCCGCCGGGGACTTAGGCAAAATACGGCACTAAATTTGTCGCTGTTTTTGGAAGGATCATTCATTTTTTGGCTTTATTAACTTGGCTTTGAAAAGAGTTAAGCGTTCGTTTATTTACATACATTTTGGAGGTTTTTTTGGAGCCCGTGTTGCCCAGCGGGCTCGGTTTATTAAGTCTGGAGTGGTGAGCTTTGTTATCCGACTCTCATGCAAGCTCCGCTCAATCCAGGAACACTTTAAGTGCACTGAAAAATATTACCATTATTGCAAATCAAATGGCGAATTATTTAATTCAAAGATATAAAACTTATATTTTTTTTTTAAATAATGAATTGAGAAATATTTGGTAAATGTTACTGATAGGTATATTTTGTTTAAGCTGATCTTTGTTAAGCTAATCTTTCAATGTACTAGACCCGGTCCAAGTTAGCCTTGTTGCCATTGCCGTTGGGCAAAGCACAGCCAATTTCATGCAAAGTTGGATGCGCCCTTATTCCATCCTCCAATGACCGGCTCCACGTCCTTGATGGATGACTTTTGACGCCAGGCAACGTTTGGCGGCCAATTTGATTTGGGCCGCAACGGGGAACAGAAGAGCCCGATCCCATGGCCCCTCGGCAGTGCCTGCAGCTCACAACTGTCGATTTGTCAGATATTTGGCGTGGGACTTCAAGGCGGCCAAAATGACAGGGGGAAGGCGAATGAGCCCAAGTAGCCTGCAGTGTATTACAGATTGGCTTTTGAATTGTTGGCATTCCTGTGTGCTGAAGACAAAGCAATGGCACAAGATGGATGTGCTGGCTAACTGACTGAAAACTGGGCGATAATGCAGCATCTGGGCACGTATAAGGTCCAGAATAAATCTGTGAGCTTATGTACTCAATTTAATTTAAGGAAACTTTTTTTTTAAATTGTTTACAGTGAAGCAATTAGTTTTTTCAGTTCACGAAAGAATTTTTAATTGATAGAGTTCCGCCGCGATTTTAAGCTTGTCCTTACAACCTTTTAAGCATATAAAAGCATAGATCCAAATAGAATAAAGCAGCATTCTTATTCACACTTCCCCATGCATTGGCTCAGCTTTGAGGGCGCTCGCATGGCACAAAGACAATCCGCATGACGTATACGCCGCATGGGTCACGGGTGTCACGGCAACTGAGAACTGGTAAATGTAAGCTGCTAGGTGGGATCTGGTGTGGCATCTGTGCTGGCAGTTTTCGCTTCTACCATCAACCTGCTCTGCATGTCTCGTCTCTCCTATAAGCCAATGCTAAAACAGGCCAAAGCCATCGTCTGAAAGTCTTGCAACGAGACAGACACCAAATTCCGAAAACGCAACCGTATACAGGGATAAAAATTGGGACTTGATTATAACAAATAGGCCCGTTTCGAATGATGTCTTCTTAGGCTCTAAAACGATAAGGGCTTGTGTTTTGCCAAATAACTTTAATTTGTAAATAAATATTAACATTTTACGACATGAACGTATATGATTCACAATTTTAGAAACAAACTATATACATATATACTACCTATTTCCTTCAGAGTCTGAAACTAATAGCCAAATTTTTTTCTTGTGTAACCATAAAGCCATATAGCAACAACGAGAACAGTCACAGCAGCGACGTGGAGCCCACGAACGATAAATCTTTAACGTGGATTTCATGCATGTAAGCCAGCCAAGGACTCTCAGTCACGATATGATGCATGAGCCGAAAGCGGGTTTAATATGTAAACTTCTTAAAAGCGCAGAGTTTTCAGGAACAAAACTGCAGCAGCGTTAATTTGCCCAATAAAATGCAAACAGCCACGAGGAGCAACTAGCAACTAGCGCCGCCATAAATATCATCAGCCACTGAGAGTCGTGGAGCAATGAAACGCGTTTTCCGCGGGAAAACAAAGGAAAAACCAAGGGGGAAAAATCAACAGGGAGAGCACAGCGGGTGGGACGCCGCATTTAGAGACAGTCAAACTGGCAGCCATCGGGCACAGTCCTTCCTGAGACTGGGCTCCTTGCTCTCTTGCTCCTGCCAGCCGACTTCCTGCCGCCGCCTCCTTGAGCCGAGCATTTCCGCTTCTTATCGCGGCAATGTAAACGCGTTTCCGTTTAGGACTCAATCCCAGGCTCATTTCGCAGCATCGGGAAGGGCATTAAACTAGCAGCTCGGCGCTGGATTACAAGTAAATTGGAAAGGATTTGAAGATGAGCCTGCTGCGCCTGCTGGGTGCCCTGCTGCTGGCCACATTCAATGGTGAGTGCACTTGGAGAAAGTATTAATTTGACCCAATATCAAAGATGAAATCATTTCTTAAGAAATGTAATGTAATGCCAAGCAAAGGCTAAGAATATATTGGGTAATAACAAATTATAAAGTATATGACTAAATCCAAACTACAAAAACGTATATTAATGTTCATTTCTATCCTAAATAATGCTTATTTAATTTGACTATTTTGGGAATCTTTAAAGATTTTTTTTTTTTCTGAGTGCTATATAAAGAGCTGTTCGAAATTTATGAACATGATTAACGGTAAGCCCATCCCCACCCCAAAAGTGTCATAAACGCTTGGATTTCACCCGATCTGCGCGATTTATTTGCGCTCACAATTTATTTGCACAACTATTTACGAGCGTTGGCATTGGCAATCATAATAACAGCACAGCACGAGAGCTGTGGCAGCAACGATTCAATATATGTTGCAATTTGCATCGACAACTACAATAAATTTATCTTAAATGAACAAACATTTTTCTTCCAGCTTTGCCGCCTGACTGGCAAATAAAATGCGATATGCCAAAGGCTTATCGTTGCCACAAAAGGCTGTGCCGGCAAAAACAACAATAAGTAATAACCAAAGCTGCACACAAATTACAGCATGGCAAAACCCTCGACAGCACTCACAATGCATTTCAATTTGTTAAAACATTCACTCACTCACATGCTATACGAGGCCAGAAGTACATAAAGATCCCATGAAAACAGTTTGAAAATAACAATAAAAAATGGCAAATTTTCATCATATAAATTGGGGAATTTCGTCAAGCATATTTGTCAAATAATAAACACATGTGTGTTCATAGAGGATTTTCCTTTTCTACTCTACATTTTTGTATTGATGGGAAATAGGAGGGCCAAGATATCTCCAATCAAAATATTCATTTAGAAAATTCAGATCGAATTGCAAGATAATCTATGAGTTGGGCAATCTTGCATTAGATGTCACAATGAGTTTCCTTTCAGCTGGTTCTCTTATTGAAATAGACATCTAATTGACAATTATTTTTGGGCTGTGATGACATGCCCCTCAAGTGTGATTTAGGTTTTACTTTTTCATTTTTTGTTGTTGTAAATTTAAATGTTTTTGCTGATAATTTTAATGAATAGAAACCATTCAATGCATACTGCATAAAAATAAGTCTAAGATAAAAAACAAGTACTTTAAGGAGATCCATAAGATCGACCGAATTTAAATTCCTTTTATTAATTTTTGATATTTATTCTTTTTGCAATGCACGAATGGCTTAATGACCTAAAATAACTCAGATGTGAAGAGATTTTCGGTAGATTATAAAGCCGAACGCAGCGGCTACTGAATCAATACGAAATATTTGCCTGACGAATAAAGTATTTTGATTTCACTTGGCGCGCAAACAGGCACCATAAAAATGTGTCAAATGCAAATTACGTATATAAATAAGAGCAAATATATGAATCAACAAATAAATATGTCGCATCAAGAGATATGTGCGCTGGGCAGGGCACCCGCATCTTTGTGTAAAAGTCAATTTGCTGTCGCCGCCCGAAAGTCGCGAGTGCCATAAATATGGCGAAATGTGCGTGAGACCGCAACGCCGCAGCAAACGCCATATGCGAATAAATAAAAATCGAGCGCAAGAGCGGAAAATGCAAAATAATTGCATATTTATGTGCGCCCGGCCACTGAGCCAAAGGAACTGGCATCTGAAAAGGACGAAAGTCCTGCGAGCTCCGAACGGCCAACTGCGAACTGCGAGCTGCGAGCTGCGAGCTGCAGCCATAAATCCCAAGCGACTTGCCCGCTTTTAATACCGCGAATCCCAACCCGAAATGCGCAAATGTCTGACTGCTCGTAATATTCGCCATACGCCGTCAAAATGCTCGGCCGGAGGCGTAAATTTATTTCAATTAAATAAATATGCATTTGCCGCTCTTTTTGCGCAAGAACCCAGACTTCAAGGACGGATTTATCAATACGTTATGCAAGTCTGGCAACCAGTAAGCTTAAAATAAATCAAGTCTTAAAAATATAAAGCTACGTAAAATAATAATTACTAAACATTATTATTGATTTATTGTATTGATTTCTTCAACACTATACGTAAAACTATTACAAGTTTTCCACAATTGTCCCAATTAATTTGCTGACAATAGGAAATTTTTATGAATGCACTAAAATTTAAAGACCCAGCACAGAACCTTAAATCGTTTTAAAGGATTGCCGTAATTAGTAGAAAATTACAGAGGGTTGATTGCGCAATAATCCACCCCTTTATCACCCTCAAGTAAGGAACACAAAGCCAATGAAATTAACTAAAAATCAGTCAAGAGCATGAATGGCAGCGTTTTATCTGGTCGCTTGTCTTTCGCCCATTATCTTTGCGTTTTGTGCGGCGGAAAAGGAAGCGCATTTGATGATAATAATAATAATAATAACAGCGCCAACACTTGGCCATTGTTTTAGCGGTAGCCAAGCGAAAAAGCAGCAACAACAAGATGACACTTTAATAGCACAAATGCGGAACTAAACAAAAACCAAAATCAACGAAAAATGGGTGTGGAAAGCGACTCCCGCCAGCTGTCATAATGAAACTGTCAAGGACAATAGGGGGCCAGCGGAAATACAAAGTGTACGTGTGCCCCTCTGGAAAAGTTCCACCACGCGCCCCTGAATTTTCCCGGCACCCCCTTTCGCATCCGCCACTTTCCGGTTTCTGCGATAAAAGCGACAAACGAAAATTCTGTCTGACGGGTAGAGGCCATTTATAAGAGCATCAGTTACAATAACACTGCAGGGCGGCCGGACGGCTTGGTCTAAGGGGCGTGGCCCTCACAATAGCCTGGGCCATTGTCATAAATTAAAAATGAGGAAGTGTATGAAAATAAACAAAAAGCCAAGCGGCCCAGCAAGCTAGCCGCAGCGGAAATACAAAAAGCGTTGATAAATAAATTTCTAACAAAACAAACAGCTTCCGCAGAAAAGGAATCCCAAGACTCAAAGTCAGCCCGAAGAGCCCAAGAAAAGATAAGGCGGAAAACGTGTTGGCCAGGTCAAGACTGAACATAATGCAATTGCGCACATTAAAGTATAAAAGAAAAGTTACGTCTCAAAGTAACTGAAAACAAAAATGGTAGAAATAATTAAGACATATTTACAAAGGAAATATACAACTTTCTTGAGTTTCTAAATCGGACATGTATAATTAAATAATATTTGTGCTTATTTCATAATTCAACTTATAATCGGGAACATACTTAAAACGGTATATATTGTTCACCCAATTAAATTATTTTGGCCAACCCCTTAAAGTTGTAGCTTAGGGCAATGCCGACATTCAACGCGAGCCTCAAATTTCAGAGGACGCGTTCCATGTGTCGTAGCACTCGCACTTCGTGCCCCCCATTTCCTGGCCAATTCCTTTCATGCCTCTGCAACAGCATCAGCTACATTGGCCAAGAGAGCCTGGGCGCAGTGGCCAGCAATGTCCAAAGCCGCTGCGGCTTTGATGGAATTTGTGAAAATACTGCACAGGAACCACTAGCCACAAAAAATAAGCGAGTAACTTACATATAAGTCCGACTTGCAAATGCTCTTAGTGGCTGATTGAATTGAAGTCATACAGGTATATGGTGCTTCAGGAAATAACAAATAAGTAGAGCAGTAATAATAAATGTTTAAAGTATATTTTTTTAATAATTTAAGCTTTGAACCCAAGCTAATGATTAAGTCACACACACTTCACGAAGTTTTTTCCCAAACGTAAGTAAATGCAATTCGGTCAGCTCAGATAAGCTGACTCACTTTAATAAATACAACTATAGGGTTCGTTCCTGCCCATCCCCAGACCATTTCGACGACAGTTTCTGTTCTGCTTTTACAACCAGGAGCGTTGACCATATCCCAAACGCTTTATTCTGTATTATGTACGATATTTTGTTTCTATTTTATGCGGCTTATTTGGCTCGCATGCCACGTCCAGTTTTTAGGTTTTCAGACCAGGGTGCAGATCCTCGTGGGGCTTTATTTTGGCTTTCGGCATTTGTTTAAATTAAAGATTATGCACAAGTGAAAAAGTAGCCATGCGAGCGCCAAGAAGGGGAAATATTTGAAATTTAAATATGCCAACCAAGCACGACCTTGGGCCACGTGGCGTATGATGGATTTGGGACCGCATGACGTCAATGGGAGGGAAATCTGTTGTTCGCCCTTTTCACCCGGAACGTGTAAACAAGCAAATGGCTTTAAATTGCTGGCAAGTAGTAACTGTACAATGAGCATAATGGCTGTAATCGCAATAGGGCATTTAGCACTTCATCTTTCCTGCGAGCAGCCTTTGCATATATTTATAATTCATATTCATATTGTTAATTCTCTGGGACACCTACCCCACCCCCTGCAAACCATTTCATCCGTCGCCTAGGGTAGCTGCCATAAAAGCATCATAAACATTTTACAGCAGTTGCAGTTGCTGCAGGAAACTGCCCAGCAAGCGGAAACGGTGCCGCTCCTCAGTGCCACCCTCATAATTGCAGCCAGCCATTTCACATTTTGGCCTAGTCCCGGAAAAAGGGGGGCGTGGCACCGGGAATTAGGATGGCTTTATCGGAGGCAGGCCAACTATGTTAACGTATGTGTGGCTCAGGGATTTTTAAGCTTTCAAGCTGACTGTTTCTTTTTTTTGCCTAATCCGCCTGAAATGTTAAATATCTATTTCGTGTTATAAATATTTCGTGAAACACTCATCAGGAGGATAAACAAAAAAAGCATACTATAAACATTTACCTATTAGCATATAAATACTTTTTAAATTCTACATAGTAAGTTATTATAAGCAATTTGTATATAAGCAATATACATATATACTAGGCTAAGGCCAGTGAAATGTGAAACAACTATAAATAACAACATAATCATCGCTGAATGTATTGTGGTTTTATTAAACAAAATATGTTTATTAAAATAAAAAACCCGCCAATACTATAATGCCATGTTG